GGCCTAGGGGGGGGATTGTATAGGGATTTTAATAGGGATTTTATAACTTTTCTAAAAATAACAGGCTAATTTAATATATATTTTAATTGTTTTTAGATATTTATTGTATAGTTTCGTTTTTTATTTGCCTGTAAGCCGCCCTGAGTCCTTCGGGAGAAGGGCGGGGTATAAATTAAAGTAATAATAATAATAATAATAACTAGTCCCTGGCCAGGAATAATTGATGAAAAATTCTGCAATCACCTCATCTCTATGAAATATTGTACTATTAACTAGTTAGTGGGAGGAGGAGGAGGAGGAGGAGGAGGAGGAGGAGGAGGAGAAGGAGGGGAAACAGATTGTTTTTTTAACTGGCTCTTTCATGTTAAAATGCTACTAAAAGTAGTCCTCGACTTACAACGGTTCATTTAGTGACCGTTTGAAGTTACAACGGCACGGAAAAAGGTGACTTACAACCATTTTTCACATTCATGACTCTTGCAGCATCCGCATGGTCACGTGATCAAAATTTGGATGCTTGGCCGTTGTTTTTTATTTATGACGGCTGCAGTGTCCCGAGGGTCACGTGATCACCTTTTGCGACCTTCTGATGAGCAAAGTCAACGGGGAAGCCAGACTCACTTAACAACTGTGTTACTCACTTAACAATGGCAGCGATTCACTTAACAAACGTGGCCAGAAAATGGGAGCAAAATTCACTTAACAACTAACTATCTTGCTTAGCAACAAAAATTTGGGGCTCAGTTGTGGTCATAAATTGAGGACTCCCTGTAATTCTTGTTGCTACTTGCATTTTGTCTCTGAACTTCTCTCTAGAAAAAGACATTTATGTAAGAAACAAGTCCCTCCTCCTGGGCTAAAGCCTACTATGAATTTTTGCAGCGTTTTTATATAGGAGCATCCATCAAAGCTTGCGGCCTACATCAGAATGAAGACCCATCACAGCATTGTGCCCTAAGCTCCAGTGCTTTGGGTCATACACACAGTGCCACAATGCATGTCCGAAAGAAGCCATGCTCGCGTCATGACATCGCAATGCGGCTTTCGTCATCCTGCTGGCCCTTCCCCACCACATACACAATGCCATCCCCGCATGTTATTTGGCTTGTTAAAGTCTTTCTTGCTCCATCCACAAAGACATACTTGCATTTAGGAAGCTCGCTTTCATCAAAATAGCATGTTCCTCCATACAGACATCTGCAAGCCGGGGGCATTGTTGGCGGAGATTCAATAGCTAAGAAAAATGAAAAGACATGCATTATACAGATCCTGTAAATCATGAGGGTTTATCCACTGCCAAGAACTCTGAAGAATCAGGAATTTTCTTTTGCCTAGTACAGTGATGGCGAACTTTTTAGAAACCGAGTGCCCAAACTGCAACCCAAAACCCACTTATGTATTGTTGGGTGCAGGGTAGGTGTGGCCCATTGGGTGGGTGTGGCCCATTGGGTGGGTGTGGCTGTGGTTGTAATGGCAGACTGGGTGGGACTAAAAAATTCAATCAATCAATTCCAACTTTGCGAGATCTTTTTTTTTCCTGCGAGAAGTTGAAATTGATTGAGTGATTGAACCTTTTTTTTTTTTTTGCACACGGCGGCTGAGGCATAAAGCGAAAAGGTTTTATAAAATCCAGCTGAAGCCATAGCACTGGGGCGATGGCGCATGTGCCCACAGAGAGGGCTCTGCGTGCCACCTGTGGCACCCGTGCCATAGGTTCGCCACCACGGGCCTAGTAGAAGCTTCTATTTTCTGTCTGTGTCAATCACATGCCATTTCCCTTATGCGAGGTTCAGAGGGATAAACAATACCTTATGTAGACATATCTCTCTACCTTACCACGTGCATATTAGTAAAATATAATAACAAAACATCAGTCTCTGAGGCCAGCTGACAGAGAAACTAACCAACAAAACAGCCTTGAATCCACTGTTTTTTCAGCTACTGAGAAGAGCATCCCCAAGGAATGTCTCTTCATGCTGCTCCCATTGATAGAGAACCTTGTGTTTGAGAAAGTGATTTCCACCAATTTCTCTTCCCTTGGCTGTCCCCAGCTTCACTTCCCTAAGGCAGGGCTTTTCAACCTTTTCACCCATTGTACCACTTTTAGGATAGGGCAACATCCGAGTACCACCAGTCGCCTAGCAAGGTGTCAAAAACCTGATGACCAAAAAAAAAAAAAAAAAAGGGGAAAAAGTGATGAAGTACAGGTAGTCCTCGACTTACAACAGTTCGCTTAGTGACTGTTCGAAGTTACAATGGCACTGAAAAATGGGCCCCCCAAGGCACAGCCGAACAAGACACCTGCCTTCCCACCCGGCGGCGCTCTTCCTCCTGTCCGAGGTTTTCATTGTTGTGAGCATTTCTGTTGAGGATTGGCAGTGGGGGTGGGGTGAGGGGTGTTTGGTTTTTATTCCCCCCGTCTGCTGGGTGGTTGCAGCAGGTTTTGGTCATTTCACATGACCCTGGGACCCTGTGACCATCATAAATATGAATCAGTTGCCAAGCATCTGAATGTAAATCATAAGACCCTGGAGATGCTCCAACATTCCAGCTGATCGGTGCTTCTTCTGGACTCAGCAGAAGCGCCAGGATCAGCGCTGAGTTCCAGCTGGAGCCTGGTGCTGATCCTGATGCTTCCACTGAGCCCTGACAGTCCCGAAAAAGCGCTGGTCCTGGTGCTTCCGCTGAGCCCTGACAGCCCTGCAGCTCCAGCCATCTCTCACTCAGGCTTGTGTGGTGCTACCACTGGTTCAGCTCATTCCCCTCCCCCGCTACCACTTTTCTAGGATGGTCGCATACCACCTGCCAGGTGCCAATGTACCACAGGTGGTACCCGTACCACTGGTTGAAAAGCCCTGCCCTAAGGTGTCCCTCATCTTTTCAGAGCACATTTACAGTGTGCTGGGGAGACAAGCTATACTTCTTCCATTCTGACAACAAAAGACTGCCATGTTTAATTGCATTTTTTTTTTTAAAAAGTATTTATTTAAAAGAAGACTTACTTCAAGAACATCTTCTGCCAGCATACAAATAAAATAGATCAGTAAGTCATTAAAGCTAAATAAACTATTTGATCACTACTGTCTATAAATGTTTTTGGTTGTTGTTGGTTTTTTTTTGAAGAATTAATCTTCTGATACTTGTATAAAAATGCAACAATTAGTGCTATGTATCAGTCAGAAAACACCCTGGAAATGCTTAAGAGAATGTGACAAGTGATTAATGTAAGAAATGAAATGTTCACCAGATTTCGTTAGAAATGTCCTCTTAATTCTAAGTACACAATTGTACACAGTGGAAACATATACATTGCATTATATACCTTATATTTATGAGAAGGTACATACTCTGAGATGGGTGGCACAGTGACTCAGCGGTTAAGACATTGGGCTTGTCAGCTGGAAAGCCAGCAGCCCAGGTTTGAGACCCAAGCGCCACATGATGGGGTGAGCTCCCGTCCTCACCCCAGCTCCTGCCAACCTAGTAGTTCGAAAGCATGTAAATATGAGTAGATAAATAGGCATCACTTAGGTGGGAAGGTAACAGCATTCCGTGATTTCATGCTGGCCACATGACCATGGAAATGACAGTGCTGCCTCAATGGCCTTGAAACAGAGATGAGCACTGCCCCCTAATCGGCAATGACTAGCGGAGTAAAATCCACAGGGACTCCTTTACCTTTTATATACTCTGAGGATATTCACACCAAGGAATAGAGGCAGAAGTAACTGGGAGAAATGCATGTTGCTATTTTAGTTGTAAGCATTGCAAAGTAGTAGTGACTAGTTCTTTGTTCGCTATGAGGCCACATTTAATGTCTCTTGAGAAGGCAAGATCTCACTGAGCAGCTTCTAAGGAACGGTGAGTGGATTGAAATACAAATATGGGAGGACACTTCTATTATTATTTTTTTGATAAGGGTAAGAGTAGAACATTTTCTTTCTTTTTAAAAATCGTGTCCAACCTATTTTAGGGCTTATATATATATTTTCCACTTAGAATAGTGGAAAACTGCACTGCTACCTTATAATGTACATCTGGGCAATGTAAGGCATCATCATGTTTCTGAATGTTCCCTGTGGGGAAAAATCCTTATAAATAGAAAATTATTACAATGCAAAATATTTGAACTAATATGTTTCTGTTTGATCTCCTGGCTTTTGACTGCAGAGAGTTCCTAATTTGGAGGTATGGTCTAAGACGCAACTTCCTTGTTCTTGAAACTAAAATACTATTTACGCATTACCTTGGTTCTGTGCGTGCATCAGAGTTTACTCAACTACACTCTGTCTCTTGTGAAAAAAGAGGATGTCCAGTACTCTCCTTACCTGCGTCACATTCTACTGAGCTGCCTTCCACAAAACGAGCCCCTTGTGGACAAGCACAGGTATATCCCCCAGGTCTCAACAAGCAGAGGTGACTGCAGACATCTTTGCATGGATTGGACACTGCAGAGACAATAGAAGAGACAATACAATGCCTTAGTACAGCCATACTTGGAATACTGCATCCAGTTTTGGTCCCCGCGATGTAAAAAAGATGCTGAGACTCTAGAAAGAGTACAGAGAAGAGCAACAAAGATGATTAGGGGACTGGAGGCTAAAGCATATAAGGAATGGTTGCTGGAATTGGGTATATCTAGTTTAACGAAGAGAAGGACGAGGGGGGACATGATAGCAGTGTTCCAATATCTTAGGGGCTGCCACAAAGAAGAGGGAGTCAGGCTATTCTCCAAAGCACCTGAAGGCAGGACGAGAAGCAACGGGTGGAAACTAATCAAGGAGAGAAGCAACCTAGAACTAAGGAGAAACTTCCTGACAGTGAGAACAATTAACCAGTGGAACAACCTGCCTCCAGAAGCGGTGAATGCTCCAACACTGGAGGTTTTTAAGAAGAGACTGGACAGCCATTTGTCCGAAATGGTATAGGGTTTCCTGCCTGAGCAGGGGGTTG